AGCGGGAAGAGGGGTGGCATCCTGCCCCCCTTCCCAGTCCCCGGACCTCCGGCACCCCCCGGTCCCGGGAAGCATCCCCGTGGGATGGGGTGAATCAGGGGTTCCCGGGCGCTGAAAACAGAAACAGATGACGTGGCAGCAGAGGGGAGAAATTAGGCAGACAGGATCCAAGGGGAGATCTAGGATCCAAAGGGAGCATTGAGATCCAGTGGGAGCACCAGGATCCAGGGGGAGTGCTGGGACCCTCCTGTCACCCCACTGTGCTCACAGCCCTGGAAAAATGCCTCAAGTTGACATGGATTGTTTTGCTCCATGCAAGCTGAAAACATTCCTTTTCCCTTCTCTGTCTGAGAGGACACAGCAGGTTCAGCCACCTGTCTCCTCCCACTGGAGAACGGCCCTTTGGGATCACAGGGATGCCCATGATTTGCTCTGGGAATGCTGTAACACCACAGTACCAGCATTTCTGTGAAGGAGGCACTTCCACACACAGCCTGCCTGTGCCTGGAGGGGCGACGTGTTTAATTATCTCCAGCTGATTTCGTGGAGCTGCTCCTTTTCCCAGCTGGCACAAGCAGCCTGGTGCCAGGGGCCATTTACTCACCACATCCCATGGGATGGATCCTCCTTGGTGCAATGCTGGCAGCTAGAGAGCACAGCCATCTCTCCTGGGGTGGCATTAACCAGCACTGCTCCAGGCTCAGGCCCCTGGTGGGCTCTGGGGAGCTCCAGAAGTTCAAGATTCCCAGTGGGCTCTAGGGAACTCCAGGAGCTCCAGTCCCAGATTCCCACCAAGCTCAGGGAACTCTAGTCTCAGGCTCCCAACAGTCTCCAGGAGCTCGAGGATCCCAGCAGGCTCCAAGGAGCTCCAGGAGCCGTGCACAGCCACCATCCCCAGAGCCAGCTGCAGCACAGACAGGCACCTCATTAGCGCTCAGCCTGGAGCCTGGCAGTGGATCACTTCCAGCAGCTGTTGGCGCCAAGGTTTTTTCCACTCCCCCGGGTGTTCTGGCCTCCATTGGCTGCAAATAAATCAGGAAATCATCCCAACTGGACCTTGGCTGCAAAAGGGCTTGTGTCCCTCTCACTAAAGCCCCCATAGCCACAGGGACACTGTGGCACAGGGCAGCAACCCTGGGGGACCTGCTGGAGCAGGATTGAGCCTAGATGCCCTCCCCACCTCATCCAGTGTGACCCCAGCCCTATCCAACCAACATTCCTGGGACAAAAGCCCCATTGGGAGAGCACTGGCTGTTATGGTGAGTGCTCCAAACACTTCCAGCCCCGTTTTGAGGAAGGGGGGGCAGTGAACTCAGGCTTCAGGGAGCTCCCAGGAATACCAGGATCCTGGCTTCATGAATCTACCTTACAGCCAGGACCTTACCTCTTTCTGTCCATCGCTGCACCAATCTATGTGTGTTCAGGCTTGGGAGAGGAGGGGGGAAGGAGAGAGATGGCCATAGCTCTGCTGGTCAGGGGTGGTCCAAGCTGTCAGTCCCAGGCAGGAGCCCCCAGGCAGCAGCACCAACACACATCCCCCAGGGAACCATCCCATCCCTCACCCCTCCCCAACCCACCATTCCCAAATTAACCCACCTCCTGCCCAAGCCAGGCGATACACTGACGTCCCCTGGGAAAACAGGACCCAGAGCTGAGTGTAGGATTCCTTTTTCCATTAGAATAAAAGGGTAAAAGGCATTAGCCACTGTTTAAAGAGTCCAGGGAGATTTTTCCAACAGCAGGAAAAAAGATTCTGGCTCAGAGAAAGATGAAGGCACAGGAATTGTTCAAGGAAAATAAATAGAGATAGTAAATAAATAAATACATAGAAACAGGGTTCTGAAAAGATCAGACCCTCAGCATGAGTCAAATATCTGATCTTCCCACAGCAATTTCCTAGCTTTCTTATGTGAGGGAATAGGAATAGGGCAACACCTTTTCCCCTCTGCATTTTGACTTGCAGAAGCCAGTTACTGGTCTGATATCAGCCACCGAGGCAGGGAAAAGGAGACACAGAGAGAGAGTGCTGGATTTTATCAAGCATTTTTATTTTTGTACAAAAAAAGGAGTTTAAAATCATAAATACCCAATCAGTAAAACATACACTGATGCACTGTTGCCCTAAAAGCCCTTTCCCTGTGTCCCTCAGATGTGGGAGGTGCAGGAGGGGCCGCAGGCAGGGCTGGGGCCGGGTGGGGAGTGCCACACGGCTGAGCTGGTGCGCTTGAAGTAGCGTGGTTTGCTCTTGTAGAAGATGTCCTCCAGCTTGGGGCTGGGGATGGCCCCAAACAGCGCATCCAGGTCCACTGGGTGGTAGTACTGGTGCACAATGGCCTGGTGGAGCTGTGCCCCTGCAGGAATAACACAGTGGACACATGGATGTGGGGCTGGGAAGGTGGCAGTGCTCTGCTGGAGGTGTCCCCAGTGCCTGATGGACAACAGGCAGTCTTCTTCACACCTGAGAAATCACTACCTGTGCAGTGGTGTGATTCCAGCCTCCTGCTCATGGCAGAGTACCACACCTGCCCCTAGGTGAAATCACTTGGCACATGGGACACCACACCTCGCTTTCCCTCAAGAGTTCAGGCTGTCCCCCCCAGTTCCTCTCCCACCCTCGCACCAGAGGCATGCGAGGAGGACTCTGGTTTCACCTCAGCCCATCAGCCCTCGCAGGAAGGATCCCCAATTGCCTCCGCACACAGAGCCAGAGGCTGCCAGTACTGCTGGACACACACACACTCCCAGGCTGCACTTTGGGATGGCTCCAAGTGAGGCTGGAAAGCTCCAGGGCAGGAGGGAAAGAAAACCACCCCAGAGCTAGCACCTACCGTCAGCCCAGGCAGGGACAGGCTTCCGAGGGTCATTCTCATCATCTGTGGAGTCATCACTGTTCAGATCCAGCCCATAGTTGTTCCCATCACCCACAGGGGATCCGGATCCCTGCGTGCCCTCAGGAGGCCTAAGGCAGGGTGTGGAGAGGGATTTCTGAAACCATGGAGAGAGCAGTGATGGGCAAGGGAAGCAGCACTTCCGTGGGGCAGGAGAGCCAGCCTGGCCGGGTGGGATGGCACCAGAGCCCCAGAGTGCTCAAATCCTGTACCAACACCAAGCTGTCGTAGGGCTCAGTGCCTTGACACCTGCTCTTAACCCACCTCCCATCCTATTTTCCATGGACAAGCCTAGGAAGGGCACACTGTGTGTGTCCCAGCACTCAACACGGCTCTACGCTCAAATCCCTTCATGTGTTCCGTGGCAGGTTGGGTTTTCCCTCCCTGGGGCTCTGACAGGAGTCAGGACGGAGCCCACAGCCCCCAGGGCAGATTCCCAGATCCGAGCAGCCTTTCCTACACCTCTATGCCCTTGGCTCCGCAGCTCCAGCTGGCACAGCCTGGCTGCCCGGGGATGGAGCCCCAGGACCTGCTGCCATCCTGTGGCTGCTTCCAGCATCCTTTCCGACACATAACACTTGTTTTCCCTCGGATTCCCTGTGCCCGGCAATACGGCTGGCTCTGACCCGCGGGGGCCAACTAGCCACCATGGGCTGGGGCCACCCTAGGGCTCTGCCGGGCCAGAGCTCACCTTTATGGCTTTGCTCAGCCACGTGCCTGGGGCAGCGCCCGGAGTTGCTGGTTGTCTGGACTGTTTCTCTTCTCCCAGCTGCTGCTGCTGCCCGTTTGCCTCCTGCAGGACACGGGAATGAAGTCACTGCTCACCCGGGCAGAGCAGCCAGGCTGCCTCCGGAACAGAGCCGTGTTCTCGGCAACTCTGGCAAAAGCCAACCCTCAGTCCCTCTCTGCAGAATAGCCCCAAATCCAAGGCTCCCAAATAATGCCGCTCCTTGCCTCCACGCAGGTCCAGCTTTGTGAAGCTCACACTCACCTTCACCACTTGGAGCCAGGTGTTGAGAGCTGGGAAAATGGATTCTGGTTTCTCATATCTGTTCTTCTGCCCAGGCCCCAGGAGCAGCACTTTGGGGCTCTCTTCCCCCTAATAAAGAGGAAAAAAAATAAAAAAATCACTGCTCAAGCTCCTTTTCAACCCAAACCACTTTTCCTGGTAGTTTATCCTCCCATGTTGCCCAACAGGGCAGAGCTAGGGACACTTGGAGTTACATCCACCTTCTCCTGGCTGGAGGATCTTTGCCAGGCTTACTCCAGCACAGCTGTTGGCAGCACAGGGAGGATTCAGACCTTAAAGTGAATTTATGCATCAGAGAGTCCAAGTGTCAGGGATCAAAGGAGAGCAGCAGGAACAGAAATGGGATCCTTAGGAGGAAGAATTAATCCTGAAGAGGAGGAACCACTTGGGGCATTGATTTTTAACTAATAAGGGAGTGAATTTAAGAGTAAAGACTGAAAGAAAATGTTACTGTGATGTTTTGAGACAAACGGCCCTGACTTTAAGCCCCAACATTCTTTGTGTGAGCGCAAACAAAGTGACACGGAGCCATGTGGCACCCGAGGTTTGGCACTGGGATCACATCCTCCAGGCACAAGTGAGGGAATGCAGTAGGAAAACATAAATAAGTCTCTAATTTCCATAATTCATTTCAGGATCAGTGAATGCCCTTTAGGGTGTTCTTCAAGGAGCCATTTCATGGCTGCCACCATTTTGTGATAGGGCTGAGGGCTCACCTGTCAGCAAGGGAACCCCAACCCCAGCTGAGTTGAGCCTTGGCTTGTTCTTGCACAGCCCTTAGTTTTGTTCAATTCATTCCTCTAAATAATATCCCAGGAACGCAGCATTAGGCAAACATCTGATCCTAAACCCAGCCTGCATGTCCTATGCCTCACTGATATCCTGCAGTGAGATTGTTCCCACAGCACTCCAACTCCACCTTGGTGGTCTTG